CAAGTTTCGTCTTTTTATTAAGTTTTTCTCAGCTCTCAATTATTCAGTATAGTGATTTAATTATTGGACATAATATTATATCTACTTAAGTATTTCAAGAAATCGTCTGACAAATTGTGTTTCCTATAATTCATTTGTTCTTATTGATTGCTAATAGAGAAACTTACTTCTTGTAACTTATATAATCGATTATTTCAAAAGAACTGTTTCGGTTGATTTTATTTTGTCATTTACTGTTAATGAAAGTGAATTTTATGAATGCCATACCATTGTGATTTTACAATTTCATTTTTTTTTCTTTGCCAATATCTATCAGGAAAGGTCCGAAATAACTGTTGTAAATTGCCATCAACTTATTTAAAATTTAAAGAATTGTTTATAATAAATTAGACTGTTGTGTTGTTTTTATAGTCGCATGTGGAAATAGCAAACTTTTCGTTTCACGATTAGTCAATAATCTGAAGTGTTAATTGTTTGCAGTTCAAGTTAGGTAGTCAGTTACTTTCCGTGCTTGACTTTCCACTTTTTACAACAAAGATCCATTTAGTATTAAACTGGACAAATAGTGACTTTAATGATCTATTTTCTGCGACTGATATCTTTTCAGCAGACGGTCGTCCAATAGTTAGTTAATTATTGTTCGTGACAGTTTGACCTGATTTCGTCTTCTTATTTGCCTCGTAAACCGTTAAAAAATCACTTGGTTCGTTGAACATGCTGATTTCATTTAGGCAGATAGAATTTTTCTTATGTTTAGTGATTTAGATTTGTAATTGATGGAAGAATAAAAAAAAGGAATTGTTCTGAATTGTGTTAGTGTTGTGCTGTAATGTACTGTTCGCAAAATTTATGGTTATCAAACTATCACAGTCACATCACAAAATATTTAAAACGATTTACATGACAATTCAGTGCTCTTATTAAAATTTTAGTGCCTAATTTTTTGATATAAAAGTTAGTGGTGGTTCTTGCTGAAGGCTAAAAATCTGTAATAACTAGTACCAACATGCATAACTCTATCCAATATGTTGTAAAATTATACTTTCCTCCCTTTGCATCCAACCATCATACGAAAAATGCTCAAAATAAATCAGTAGATTTTAATACACCTGGTATAGTAAGATTACCTGCATTGCAGACAAAATTATTAATAAAATCCCTGTAATTTTTTAGTGTATTAGTCCAGNCGTACAATGATCTAGATTAGATTACTGTTCACAAATAGTTAAGGATGTGGGATGTTCTAGTTTTAGGAAAGATTAGCTCAGGACTGGAAAGAGTGGAGTTGCGTGTCCAATCAGTCTTAGGACTAACGACCTTATGATGATGACGAAGTGGAATGGTTTAACAAAAGTTTGAAGCCTTTTTTTAATGTTTACTCATTTTTTTTAAAGGTATTTTAATATGATTCTGGAAGAACACTACTTATGTGATTGTGACTTGCAAAGCATAAACTAGCTCTGCTTTAACTCAATACATATAACTTTATTTCCTGTTTAGGAAATAAAGCAAGAGCACAAAAAAGTTTGTATAATTTACCACAGTTTTTTTTTGTTTTGCAGGTGAGGTCTTAATTATTATAAGGCACGTGCGCGGTTCGTTGAATTTAAGACCATTCTTAGCACAAGGCGATTAGTCATGAACTTACGCACCTGCTTCTCTCATTTTTAACCTCTTAATTAGTAGTGTCAAGGTGGTACAATTTTTCTTTACAAATGAATTTTTAAACTACACAAAATACGAAAAAAATAAGACATATACAGGTCGAAATATTTTAATGGAATAAGTTCAGTAAAAAAAATACCGACTAAAAGGTATTAATATATGTGTAATAATAACGTGATTTGAGCCCAGACATCCATTGACTTCCATGAGAATTACTCAAATATTTGATTTATGGTTTACCGCATTTTACTATAGTGAAAATGTGGTTTCTGTTGTGAGGTTTGTCGCTTGATCCAGCATTGAAGTCTCCAACTATTATTTGAAATATTTTGAAAAGTAAGCTTAATAGCGAAAAAGGGTTTGTATAAATGTTTTTGTACTAGTCAAGGACTATCCATTAGTTCAAGAATTATGTATGATATTACAATCTGTGCTTCTATAATAGTGTATTTCTAGCATTAATAATGGAAACGACAACTTTAACACTTACGATGAGTCAAAGCAAAAATATTTTTTATAATCAGGGTTGTATAATATCACCGTTATGGTTTAGTCTAACGTTAAAACTTCTGTAGTAAGTAGGTTTTGTATCCATTACTAAAACAAGTAGGAACAATTATCATAGAATCGTCAGTCCTAAGACTGGTTGGACACACACCTCCACTACTTCCTATCCTGAGCTAAAAGTAGAACATCCACCATCCTTAACTATTTCGGAACAGTAATCTAATCTAGTCGTACTACAACTCCTCTTAACTCCTGTTTCTGCTTCTAATATGTCACTTACTACTCTTCATATTAAACTATCTCGTCTATTTCTTAATGTCTTCCATTTCGCCCTCTGATGCTCTCTTACTGTTTCCAATACCTTTACTGTTTTTTTTTTGTATTTATTAAAAACAATCACATCTATGTTCTCTAACGGTTTAAAATGTAGGTATGTATGCGAAAAAGAATAAGTCGTTTGAGGTATGGTGTTGAGGGTAGATGATGAAAATATGAACAAAAAAAATAAAAAATGAGAGAATACTTACTGGAAAAACTTGATAAACGGGGGGAGTATGGAAGTCAATGAGGAAATAGGGAGACAGGATGGTAGGATATATGAGAGAGAGACAGGGAAGACTTAGATTAGATTATTACTGTTCGTAAATAGTTCTTGTTTTCGAGAAATGCGACCCGAATAGAATTTTCAGGAGGGTGTAGGTACGGTACCTAAGTGGGTAGCCACACTACCTCTTGTGAGCCCCATGAGGTTGCCTCCTGATGCAAGGAAGGGGCATAGAACGTCTTCCCGCATTTGCGCATCATCAGGAATGCCCCATATACCCCCCGCAGGAAAAAATACTGCTACCCATATGAAAAACCCATAAGGTTATCCTTATTTTAGTATCACCAATTCTTTTGATGGGATTTTCATGAGGAATCTGCGGGGAAATCCCTATATCGGCATGGCTCTTATTAACGACATGAAGCCTGCACATGAGATGGGGCATGGGGCAGCGATGGCATAAAAGTCCCGTTTTCGCAAACAGACCAAATGATAATTTAATTTACATTTACGCCAAGCGCAAGAATTTATTTGTAAGAATCAGGACACCAAAATTTTCGACGAGTTTTCCAGCTTTACGACAGACCAAAAAATCACTACCTGGAATGCTGAGAATTTGATTGCTGAAAACCGTAGGGTGGAATTATTCCAGTACTTCCTTGCAAACAATATACACTTAACCAACTTTTATATAACTATTGAGTACGTCTTGTGTCTGTCTGGAGGTAACGCACCTATCGAAAGACTCTTTTCTCAAATGACCAAATACGGACGAGTAAAAAAGGACAGTTGAGCGTTTCGGTATTGAAAAACATTTTGATTACAAAGATTAACAAAAATAAATCATGTACTGAGGTCTATTCGTACCTTAAAACGAAATCAGAGGCTTTAAAAAAGATTTGTTCAGCCAACAAATAACAAAAACCAAAATAAAATACAGCGTAACTAGCAGTAATGTAACGTACTTTACCCTTTTTTAATAAAAATACAATTTGTTTTTACATAATTCTACAACGGACGTCCCGCTTTGACAAGAAAAAAATATGGTCACTTTAGGCATAACCTAGAGGTTTAGACCATTGCTAAGCATTCGGGGAGACGCCGGTTCGATTCCAGGTAAGCGCCCCCACCACCCCTACTCGTCCTTACTTGCCCTCATACTTTTAAAAATAAATTTTTAAAATCTTGACCTTGTCACTACCAACCTTCACCACTTTATTTTGGGGGTTTTCAAGATCAGCCTTACTTTTAACCTTCACCTCTCCCGTTTCCATTACATCGCCCCTACTTTTTATCAATGAGGATAAAGTCGTTGGACTTCCCTTTATCCTCCCGTTCAACCCCACCACTACTTCCGAGAGACGGTTCATCATCTGGGCTAGACAATTACTATTATTATTTTGGAAAAATCGGTTTCGATATTACTAATAATGTCTGACTGAAACAGGACTTTCTACCGAAACCGAAATCGATTCTTCGGTATCTGTTTCAGTTTCGACCGAAACCGAAACTTTTACAGACATATTAAAAATCTATTGTTTACTAAAATTTGGCTTATATACTCTTATACACTGTATACATCAAACGTGTTAAATGAAATAAAAAACAATAACTGAAGTATGAGTAAGAAATTCCTTCCTAAGAAGTTCGGTACATTTTCTGCCGAAACTGAAACTGTTACCGAAGCTAGATTTTTTTTCTGAAACTTGCGGAAACCTGAACCGAACCTTTGGTGAGTCACTAATTACAAATCCTTTCGGCGTCTCTAATTTAGGCAGCCGGGCCCTAAACACGGCCTTGATGATAGATGTTCCTTTTAAATTCTATAGTGTGATCACTTGATTGCGGAATTATAATAATTACTTCAATTTTAAGGAATATATTTTTATTGAAATTACTGCCTCGTAATTAGCCGGAAACGGTACTAGATTTTTGTTCGTGGCATAATCAGCAAGGTAAGTAAGGGCATAATATGTGCAGACCTACGTTAATTGTCGTTTAGCTTCACGGCATATGTAAATACGTTTAAAATGAAAACAAAAAATTAAATGTGGACAAAGAGGACGGTAGGGTAAAGGTGAATAAAAAATCCGTCTGTACCTATAGGTGCGTGTACAACACATAAAACATATTATACAGGGCACATTGTACCGGTCGGTGCAACCAACCGTTGCGTTGAAACCATAGTTGAAACATTATTTTACACAGTCCAAACTGCAAACCCGCTGGAGAGGTTTTGTGTTCCTCTTCGTCGCAACCACCATAAAACAGCTGCTGCCTTGCCTGCTTTACCTCAGCCCCTCGGCTGTCAGCCAGTCAACGAGCCAGTCAGCACATTTGAAATCGTTCTTGCCAACCGATCGACACCGAGCCTTCAGCGTTCAGCGGTTCAGCTGCTTTCAGTTGTGTTTCGACCGTCGTGTTGTTTGGATGTTTTGCTATTCCTTCGTGAATAGCGTTCGATAAGTTAATATAATTCGTGAGTGAAGCATGCTTTTTGAAAATCCTCCTCTTGCTCCCAAATTGTTCCCTTACTCAGTGCCACCACCGTTGGTTTTGGCACCGCCGTCTGCCGGAGGGTAAGTCATCGAAACAACATACATACGAATCGTTTCGCTCCGGTGTAAATAATTGTCTCTAGGTTAGGTTTTGTCTGGCATCGTTGTTTTTGATTATTACTATCGTTATAGATTGTAACCTAATTTATAAAAGTATGTAGATCGTGGTTACTTTTGTTAAACTGTCTTTTGTTGTAATGCATGTGTTCTTTTGTTTATTTGTTGATGTAGGTGAACGTACTTACCGGTCGCGTTGATCCGACCAGTGTTGCCAATCTCGACACGTTTTTTCGTATTTTGCAATAATTATTGCCGGTTTAACAACCAAATTCTATCCAAATCACCTTCGATGTTCAATGGAGCCACATTTTCACGCCGTGTTTAACAATTTTTAAGGTTTTAAATAGTTATTCAAAGTTTTTTGTTCTAGATGGATTGGTTAATTGTTTTTGATTGTATTAATTTGTTGCATTAAGAAGTATATGCGTTTTAAAGCTTCCTAGTTTAATAGAAGCCATTTTTTAATTCGATAATCGGAGTACGTGGTTTTTAGAATCTATTAATAAGGAAACATTGAAATCTTTCCGTGAAGTCTTATACATATTATCATTTTTTAAATTTTGGTTCGTGTTGGTAAGAACCTACCCTTATAAATTACCTGTCGTTCTAGTTGGCAACACTGGTTTTAGTCTCTTGTGTCTCATGGCAGACAGGCAAGCAAGCAACGCTATGAAACAGATGGCTTCTGCTTCCCAGTACTTCTCATGTAGTTCAACGGCTTTTCGAGTTTCTTTGTACTTATTATGTTGTACGTGTTAATAGTTTCTCTCTCCTTTTGATGCAATACTACACAACTTACTGGAACATTATCCCTTCTAACTTCTCTAACTGCGTTGCACTAATAACTGGAATAAGTACCTACCTACAATCACATCGTACATACTTTACATACAAATCTATAACTCACTCATTACAAACAAAAATGCTTTTAAATTTGTTTATATTTTTGTAGTTTTTTTTAATACCGACTAACCGACAAGAAAAAGATATTGCCGATGTCTAAACTTAGTAAACAATGTATATAAATGATTATAATTTTGCGTAGTGTACATTCGCGGTCTGCTAATATTTTAAGGTAAAGTGGATTGAAATTTGCAGTATTTAATTTTAAATTAATTCACGAACTAATGCTTGCAGCAAATTCTTAGTTAGTTAACGGTTATCATGCAAATGAATAATATGTACGTTGTACATGCGTTAATCGTTGTAACAATACTTTACATTTTAGTTTAAATAGGTATGTAATTGTATATTAATTTTGATTTTCTGAAAAACGTGACCTTGCTCATTCTATACCGTCATACCTACGCTACGTAATATGTATGTTATAATATAAAGCATACATAATTGTTGAAACGAATTTCTAAAAATAATGCCTGTTAACAATCGATATTATTTTTGTGTTTGTTTTATTAATATACTTTTGTATAGTATATGTATATGCTTACAATTAACTAAAAAATTGAAATAATCACAAAATACAAAAAAAAATAATAATTCAGGTATTCCATTTCAAAATATATGTAGTTTTTTTTCTTGTTGCAATTAAAAAGTCAAGCCGGTTTTTAATAAATATTTTATAAATAATCTGGCAACGTTGCGTCGCCTCTATACTGGATTGGTTACCAGCTGTGTAGGGTACACTCGCCGTTGTCGTTTCTTTGTCCAACTCGTGCTTTGTGAAAAGGCGACTTGCCTATAAAGAGAACTGCACATGGCTGTTTTATTTTGAGTAGGGTGGAAATGTGAACGTATTTTAGCCTGTTATAAACTACATTATTTGACATTTTCGAAACTGAAGAATTTATTCAGTAACATATTGTACTATTATACATGTATTAAATTGACTGAATATATATATATATGCTAGACGTGTATCTAAATACCTACATAAAATATCAGCATCGCGTTAAAATCCTGCTTATACCAATAGTAGTATATATGTATAATTTTTTGGTAATTAGTGGTGTTTAAATATATTGATTGGTAAAACAATGGAGGGAGATTTTCTCGACTATATATCTAGTATTGATTTCGCCGCTTGGCAATTATTTAATAGTCTTAACAATTGACCAGAAAGCTTGAAAGAAAACAAATTGGAATATCTGCTCTGACATTTCTTAAACGCTGGTGCAGTTTTATGATTTTTGCATTTGTGCATTTTACTCTTGTTTGAATGTAGACATGTTTAAGTGGCTGCACCGAAGGGTCGAAAAGTTTATTTCGAATATTTCTGATGTAGACTACCTATTTACTATAGAGAATGGTAGTTGTAGGGACAGCGATGAAGAACTCTTACAAGGCAAAATTCTTTTCAAGAAAGCGTAAAAGGTTCTTGTTACTTTTATATTGGTTCTAAACCTCGATACTTATATTACTACTGACTCGGGTTCAAGGCAGGTAAAAAGGAACTCATTTACATTGTGCATGTAGTTATTTCTCAATGTCAAGGAACGGCACACAAGATCTTGAACGCTATTATTACTACTACTACCACTACTACGGTCGACCTCTGTGTATTGCCACGTTGCCGCATCAAACTAAAATAATTCCGAGAATTTTAACTTTAGTGACGGAAGGTTTTAAGAATATAATTAGGGCAGTTGTTCCATAGTCTATTGTTTATTTTATATAATACGTAAAGTTACGTTGATTTTATGATATTAATTATTATTGTCAATGATTATGAGAAGTGGGCAACAATACGTATGATTAATTATCCAAGTTTCGTCTTTTTATTAAGTTTTTCTCAGCTCTCAATTATTCAGTATAGTGATTTAATTATTGGACATAATATTATATCTACTTAAGTATTTCAAGAAATCGTCTGACAAATTGTGTTTCCTATAATTCATTTGTTCTTATTGATTGCTAATAGAGAAACTTACTTCTTGTAACTTATATAATCGATTATTTCAAAAGAACTGTTTCGGTTGATTTTATTTTGTCATTTACTGTTAATGAAAGTGAATTTTATGAATGCCATACCATTGTGATTTTACAATTTCATTTTTTTTTCTTTGCCAATATCTATCAGGAAAGGTCCGAAATAACTGTTGTAAATTGCCATCAACTTATTTAAAATTTAAAGAATTGTTTATAATAAATTAGACTGTTGTGTTGTTTTTATAGTCGCATGTGGAAATAGCAAACTTTTCGTTTCACGATTAGTCAATAATCTGAAGTGTTAATTGTTTGCAGTTCAAGTTAGGTAGTCAGTTACTTTCCGTGCTTGACTTTCCACTTTTTACAACAAAGATCCATTTAGTATTAAACTGGACAAATAGTGACTTTAATGATCTATTTTCTGCGACTGATATCTTTTCAGCAGACGGTCTTCCAATAGTTAGTTAATTATTGTTCGTGACAGTTTGACCTGATTTCGTCTTCTTATTTGCCTCGTAAACCGTTAAAAAATCACTTGGTTCGTTGAACATGCTGATTTCATTTAGGCAGATAGAATTTTTCTTATGTTTAGTGATTTAGATTTGTAATTGATGGAAGAATAAAAAAAAGGAATTGTTCTGAATTGTGTTAGTGTTGTGCTGTAATGTACTGTTCGCAAAATTTATGGTTATCAAACTATCACAGTCACATCACAAAATATTTAAAACGATTTACATGACAATTCAGTGCTCTTATTAAAATTTTAGTGCCTAATTTTTTGATATAAAAGTTAGTGGTGGTTCTTGCTGAAGGCTAAAAATCTGTAATAACTAGTACCAACATGCATAACTCTATCCAATATGTTGTAAAATTATACTTTCCTCCCTTTGCATCCAACCATCATACGAAAAATGCTCAAAATAAATCAGTAGATTTTAATACACCTGGTATAGTAAGATTACCTGCATTGCAGACAAAATTATTAATAAAATCCCTGTAATTTTTTAGTGTATTACTCCAGGCAATATGGACGGGTGAGTGGGAATACCTATTCCAATTAAATTTTTTTACGTTTTGTTCGGAAGATTTTTCTGAATACGACGATATAGCTTTCCAGTCGGCGACCCGGTGGAATACTGTTCAAATCATGATTGTTTAAACAAACGCCAAAAAACAACCTTTTTGGGCACAATGTTTTTTATATTCTTTGGTTTAATATCGATAAAAAAGGTCTGAAGTTATTTTTTGTTAATTTAATATTTTCCCAGTTATGAATTTTTGAAAGTCTTAATATATGTGAAAATTGCTATTTTTTATGCTTCAAAAAATTATTAAAATTTATTTTCTGTATTTAATAAACTATATTTGCTAAATTGCTGACAACCTATATCGCTGCAACCAGGAGAACCTTCCGAACAAAATTGCGTAAAAGAATTTAATCTGAATAATTTTTCCCACTCGCCCGCTCATATTACCTGGACTGTATGTATATAGAAGTCTACATAATACGGGTGAGAAGATACTATACCGATAGAGTATTATTTCACATTGTTTACTGTTTCGTAAAATATTTTTAATATTTTAATCATAATTGTATTTGTTTATTGGTTTATTTGGTTTAAATTTTTAAACTTCAGTTTTTATTATTAGCAATTTTAAGAATCTGCTTTCAGCGAACAACGTTTTCCAAATTCTTTTCCATTCTTGTACTATTGTTGTGCAGGTACCTACACAAGAAGCTATTGCTTGTTCTATAAACCTTATTCAATTCGGTATTTCCAGAGTTGGCAATGTTCGCCACCCTGACGTCATCTATGCAGCTTGAACCCTTTTCGGCTTACACATTTTCTAATAGGGATAACAAGTTAGATTTTAGGAAATTTAATAGTAGGTACTTAAGAAGAAAACAATTTCAACATTCGTCTCACAAACATCTTATATCAATTTAACGCATTTTATTATCATAAACATAATTAGACATATTTTAGACGAGTTGTAATTTATTGTTCACTTATTTGAAAGTAATTGGAAGATAATTATTTTTATTTTATGTGAGTTTTTTTATCATCGAGTGC